ATCCAACTTCCAAGCATTAAACACAAGCAATATAGAGAGAAATGGAGTTTTTCCTCTTCCAAGGACGAAGCCTCTTCCTTATATAGAGGAATGAAAAGCCAAAGCTTCTTCAAGAAGCTTTGCAAGGCCTTCATCCCTCCATACACGTGTATGGAGGGGAGCAAACAAAAAACCAGCTGGCTCAAAAGATCTGGAGGAAAACCAGCTGAGACAAGGGAGGTGCCGACCATCATCAATGGCCGACAATGGCTCATTGATGGCTGACAGGGTCTCATAAATGGCCGACAGGAGCAAAGCCATGGCCGGCAGTTCCATGCCATGGCCGGCAGTGCACCAAAAGGGTCACTCTGAAAGGACTAAGTCAGGGTCCAAAAATGAGGCAGAAATGATACAGGGTCCGGGAAGCTCGAACTGGTGACGTTCCGCCGCGACAGTCGAGTACTCGGCGAGTAGTTAAACTAGTTGTTGGGTGTACCTGCAAGCACAACCAAGTCCCATGGACAGCCAAAAATGGGGTGTCTACACCACCACACCACTACCGTCGCCACCGTCGCTACTACACCACTACCGCCACTACCACGCCCAACACCTCCACTTCTGTAACGCCCTGAAAATAATAATTGATAACTCTTATAACTCTCAATAGATATGCGGAAGCCTACCAAATCCCAACCATTCAAAGGTCGTTCACATCTTCGAATCCAAAACTGTCATTCATTCGTTGATATTCTTTAAACATTACAAGAGACGTCACATACATTAATGCATTTATCAATCCTAAATCATGAATCTATAACATGTGATAGATATACAAAAATAATAGTAAATAGATACAAGTTTATGCCCTACAGGCTAAAATTTTCCAAGACTTTGCTTGGTTACAACAAAGTGGGTCAAACCCAATACAAGAAAATCCTAGGCTTGTACAAAATATATTCACAAAATAGAAATGAGCGTTTAGCTCCAATGTCCTCCCAAGCTATCTCCTTGATGAAAGCATATTATCAGTACCTGAAAGTTGGTTTTCACATAGGGTGAGTTAAAACCCAGTAAAGATAATTTTAGTGATCTGTATGATGCTTAACAATGCCATATGGTGAATGCACAAGAATGCTATTACCAAAACATGCGTTTTCGCTTTTTAAAACTATGTTATGACGGAATGTAAATCACAATTAGTATTTTTTTTTCCTCAAAATAGAAAACATGGCAGTAAATACACGCATTAGAAATCTCTAGATACATATCTGTAAGTAGACTAAAAAAGTATTACCAAAGCCATTTCACCGACAATTAACTAGAAGTAAGACATCACAACCGCACATGTTTTTGGATTTTTTTCAAGGACACATAGGTTAACTTAATTAATCATAACCGCACCCCCTAATTAGATTTACCAAGGTATTCACCAATTTTTCTCAAAACAATGTTTTTCAATGCATAAGTATAAAACCAATGTTCAAATTGAATACATGAGTGATTGGATTCCAATTAACCTAGTTCACAAGCAGTTTCTACAACAAGCAATGCTATCATTCATTGATAGCCAAAAACAAATATCTCTATCTAAAATAAAGATTTCAAGAGACAAATATAATTTCCATAACTTCAATATACAACAATCATATGTTCAAACTAACCTTTTTCCAACTCAAACCAAACCATAATATTTTCCAAAGATTTCATCATTTCCCTTTGTGTTCCAAACCAAGAATCATCAAAGGTTTCCGTAAAACCAAAACAAATATTTCTTACAACATTTTCCATTTTAAAACAATTTCTTTAATTCCAAATAGCATAAACAATTCTGACAATGTTTCAAAGAAACACATCCCAAAACTCCACTTTGTGAATCAATTCAAACCCCTAATCAAATCCAAAGTTTTCCAAAGTCTAGTTCAATCAACTAACACATAACGAAAGTAAGTAACATTAAAACCAGTATAGAAATTTCTATCTCAAAATTAGATGAAAAGAGGAACAAAACCCCAAAATTGACAAAGACGAAACTCAAACTTTTTCAGATTAAAACGGTCCTCTCCTCGAGCTTTACCTTTAATCACAACACAATATGGTGACAAGATTTATAGATTGAAGTAGATCAGAACTTTTAGGCAAGAATTTAGAGAGAGATGAGAGAAAATGGAGTTTCAGATATTTGTAGAGAGAATGAATCCAAAAAAATGAGTAAAAAGATCTTTTCTTGCAGCTTTATACAAATAGATCGCTAGACTGATCAAAACACCGCTCAAGCGTCAAACAAGAAATCGCTCAAGCGACCAAAAAACGAGGGGGCTGGCAAGTGTGTTGAAGAAACCAAAATACTCGAGGAGGTAAAAAAGGCTCGTCGCTGTGGCTCGTGGGCGGCCCGAGGCCGACTGCAGCCAGGATGTCCGACCGCGCTTTTTAGGGCCCAAAAACCCAGCCCAGCTCGACCCCTGGTGCAAGTCCCTGGCCCATTCGTTTGAAACTCGACCCCTTAGCTCGTGGCCCGGACCAGGTGGTAAGATCGGAGATTACAGGCCACCAT